CAGCAAAAAAAACTCATACAGGACTCATTGCAACCTCACAATACCAATGGAACAGAAATCACGGCAGAAATCGAAATCAACTCACCTGGAATACTGGAAGGACCATCTAGGAAGAGAAACGAAAGCACCACCGACATCACCACCACACCACCACTTACAGACCCCCAACTCCACACAGCAGAGACAACGGTCGATGGCGATGTATTTTGGCCCCCATTCCGCGACACAGGTTGACATAAGCTCTCGGCGGACGCTCCATCACGCATTCGACTATCTCTCTCTTGCAGCGAAGGAAGCAGAAAGGAATTAGGGTTGATTGGGAGCGTTGGCGTATTATGTTCGGACTTCACTCTTGGACCTACTACACATATTCCTTGGGCCACCACCGGGCCAAGGTGACCTCAATTTTTGGGCTCTCCGTAGCTCTTGTTTTTTTCCCCACTTTTTCCAAATTGTCTTACTTTCCTTTACTTCTCTTTTCCCTTTCCCCTTTCTTCCCCCCCCTCCAGCTCTCCATTTGTAAATTATTCCATACTCAATAAAATTTTCCTTGCAAAAAAAAAAAACATCATGACATTTTAATTGAGCATTCAACCTCCACTATTGAGATGAAAATCACGACTTCTAGAGAATGAGTAATAATGAACTTTTAATGAGCATTATACCTATTATGTTGAGTATTAGAAGTATAATATTCAGAATCGTGATATCTGCTTCATAATTTCTAATTCACTTTCTTCTTGTTATTTTTATCGTAAGGTTTGTTAGTTGAACATCACGACATTTTAATTGAACATCAAACATCTGCTATTGAGATGAAAATCACAGTTTCTTGTGAATGAGCATTAATGAACTTTGAATGAGCATCATACCTATTATGTTGAGTATTATGAGTCTATCATAAAATAATACATTTAGAAAGTGAGCATAAGATCAGTATCAGATGAGCATATGTAACTTACATCACGAGTAACAATGAATTTGTTAGTTGCTTTGTTAGTTGAACATCACGATATTTTCATTCAGCATCAAAACTCCTTTATTGAGATTGATGAAAATCATGATATGACATTTGAAATATGCATTGATATGACATTTTAAAAATGAGCATAAATGAGTATAAATTGAGCATATGTTACTTACAAAATGAGCATTGATAAGTTTTTTTTATTGAGCATCAAGACATTTTCATTGAACATCAAATCTCTTCTATTGAAAATTAGAAACATTCAATAGAGTATCAAGGTATGTGCTCGATCTAGTATCTAGAATGAACTCCTATGTAAATATTATGTAATACGACACTTTTGTAGTATGCATTGATATAACATTTTAAAATGAGCATAGATCCAGTACCAAATGAGCATACAAAACGTACCAAATGAGCAATAATATTCTAATGAGCATTAGGAGTGTAACCATGATATCGTGATCTTTGATTCATATTTTCTAATTTACTTTCTTTTTCTTATTTTTTCTTTTATAAAAATTTATTAAATTATATATATAATCATTTTCTATGAGCGTAACTTCAATATGTGAATCTAAAGTAATATTGCACTTTTGAAATATGCATTGATATGACAATTTTAAAATTTGTTAGTTGCTTTGTTAGTTGAACATCACGACATTTTCACTGAGTATCAAACCCCTTTATTGAGTCTAATATTACACCAATATCAAATGTGCATACTCAACTTACGAATGAGTATCAAAAAAATCAAAAGGCTCATTCAAAATCCCTTCTATGATCAAATATTAAATGAGCATACATAGTTTACAAAATGAGCAGTGAAAAATTTTAAATGAGCATTACACCCATACACATGGATATCACATTCTGAAATGAGCATTACACAAATCTAAAAGAGCATACATAAGTACACAACTTATGAAATGAGCATTTACACAAATCTAAATGAGCATACATAACTCATGAAATGAACATTTATGTATGCTCAATTCTTTTAATAATTATGCACATTTATTATACATACTATACTCATTTTCAATATAACATAATACTCATTATAATAATATTAAAATACAGTATTAAAATACAAGATCAAAATTGTAGTAGAACTGTAGAGGGATTTGAGAACTAAAATTTAGGACTTCCCAAAACCTCAACACCTTAACATCGATAGATCAACTTCACAGAACTTTGATCAGCACCCAAATCGTGATTCTCCTCCATCGTCAATTTCCTAGAACATCAGCACCCTAACATCGACCGGCAACTTCTTCATCAACTTCCAGGAATTCAACGGCAAGGTCAACCGCAGATTTTAACCAGATTTTAATCCGGTAGTTGGAGGAGGACTTGATCGGAAAATGATGTGCGTCGCTGATTTTAACCAAGAGGGATCTCTGAACTCTGAAGTACGAGAAGAAATTCGAGAAGGCTGTGGTCAGTTCTGGCAACGGCGTGCGGCTTTACCACTGAAATAGACAAGAATTGCAAAAATACCCGGTTGTACGGTTCTCACCGTACAACCGGGTGTACGATATAATTTACCCTTGGAGATTTGTTGTAACTTTCAATTGGCTAGTCCAAATAAAGTGATTCTAGTTGCGTTGGATTTGTATAGAATAGGGAGCATTTAACTTCTCGAAAAACGTCAATTTACGTATGATAGGTAATCAAACACACAAAACCCAAAATTTAAAGAGCATAAAGTCGTCATCTCATCTGGAAATGACATGAATACCATCTTATAATCTAGTTGTGATTAACCTTCCATCAAGCTGAAGTTTTCTCCCTCGTCTTCTTCCTCTTGATTAACAGAATGAAAATGGTGAAAGACACTGAAAGGTCTATTAAATGGGATTTGAGCCCCAGCCTTGCCTCCTATATACTTATGCAACCTTTCAATTTCTATCTATTTTAATACTACGTATAAAGGGACTCCCTTGATCCATAAATATTTCCTAAAGATATAGTTATCCGTGCCAAGATATAAATATAATAAGTGGCTTTGGGACACACCACGCGGTCCCTACTCCAAAGTGAGTCCCACAAATAAATTTTTATACTCATAAAAATTAAATAGCCAGAATAAATTACCAATCTTATTCATAACATTGTGAAACTAAATTACACTTAGTTCATGAAAATTTATATCCGAGGGATAGTGTCACAAGTTCATCCCCCTAAAATTGTATTTTATCCTTGATATCCACGAGTCTAATCAAACATAACTGAAATATATAGTGCTCCTTCATCAAAGCTTAAGTCTCACATTTCCTTTTCGATCCAGTCACTCCTTAAAAGCACTTTCACCATAGGAATTGCCTTGCTCCTCAGCTTTTGTACCTATATATATGTCCACGATCTTCACCGATTGGATGCGTAGTCCAAGTCTTCTCGTATCTCTACCGGTGGTATCTCGTAGTGCAAGTCAACTCCTATGAATTTTAATATGTGAAAGTAATGCAAAATGGAGTAGTACTTTTAAAAAATACATTGATATGACATTTAGAAAATGAGTATAAGATGAGTATCAAATGAGCATAATAACTTACAAAATGCGCATTTCGGTGGCATTTTTTAATTTAAGCAAAAATCACGGCTCTCGCTAAATGAGCAATATTGTACTTTTAGTGAGCATCTGACCTATTTTATTGAGTATTAAGAGGCTAACAATGAGTATAACGATCTCTGCTTCATATCTTCTAATTCATTTTTTTTAAACTTATTGAATTATATCTATAATACACTCCTATGAATTTTAATATGCGAATTTAATGTATATGCTACTTTTGAAATATGCATTGATATGACGTTATAAAAATGAGCATAACATGAGCACCAATTGAGCTTAAGTTAGTTACAAAATGAGCATTGATATGAAAATCATAATTTTTTTTAGTCGAACTTCAAGACATTTTTATTGAGCATCAAACATTCTCTATTGAGTATTAGAAACATGCAATGGAGTATCACGGTATGTGCTTCTATGTCTATAACCAACTCCTACGTGAATGTAATTTAATATGGCACTTTTAAAATAAACATTTGTATAATAAATTAAGAATGAGCTAACACCAGTACAAAATGAGCATCCATTACTTACCAAATGATCAATGATATGAAAATAATAAGTTTTGTTAGTTGGGCATCAAGAAATTTTCGTTGATATCTGCATTAATATGACATTTTAAAATGAGCATAAAACCAGTATCAAATGAACATACGTAACTTACAAAATGAGTATCAAAAAATTCCAAAGCTGATTTGAATATCTAATGTGTTCAAATTTTCATTTGTGCGCATATAATGACAAATATAGTAGTTTATATTCAAAAAAATTTATAAATTTTTGTTCTCAAATTACAAATATAATCAGATACTTTTATAATGTTTTACCATGCATATTTATTTTACAGTATACTCATTATAGTATAACATAAAACTCACATTAGTAATTAACACACAATATTTAATAAATTAATAAATATTCATCTTAAAAATAAAAATAGAAAAAACAAACATAAATACCTAAAATATTTTATAATGCACAAATTAAAAAAATTTAAGTTAGAAGGTTGATTGGAAATAGAAAAAACAATCTCAAAAATTAAATAATATTTTTTATAATACATTTTCATAATAATTGAATAAAAAGATTTTTAAAGAAAAAATAAAAAAACGAAAAAGCAACAATTAAAATAAAAAAGAAAGAAGCAAACATGTCAAAGACTCGAAGCAACGAAAAGAAAACAAAACGAGAGAAAAGAAAAATGTAAAGCAATGATCGTCGATCAAGGCTAATGCGCAAGAGCCAGGGCCCAGGAGCAATGACGGCGGAAAAATAGGTTAGGCAGTCCAGGCACGTTAGGTAAATCAGAGGCTTGAAGTTCAAATGTATTACAAAAATACCCGGCTGTACCATGTTCAAGGTACAGCCGGTTGTAAGATATAATTTGCCATAAAAAGGTGGGAGAGGGAAGGGTAGTTGAATGAAGCAACAAGAAAGCATGGAGCGGGACCCATGCAGCAGCTGGCAATAAATAATGGGACACGTAAGAAGGAAAGAAGAGATCGAGGGGAAACGGTGGCGTTTGGTTTGTTGCAGAGGTCTGAAACGTAGAGAAGCGGCCTACGCAAAGAATTGAAGCAGCGGCGGCGGCGTAAGTTCGACGCCGCCCATTCATTCACACCATCCGGCGTCGGAGCTGAGAGCCGCGCGAGCTGAGGCATTATTATAAATTGATTGATTCGTTTTTCGATCAAGTAATTGCATGTCTTTTTTTGTTTGTAGTTGAATTGTAAGTTGGTGTTTGTTTGGTTTTATTATCAATCAAGAGATTAGGCCGGCCTCCACCCACCCCCGGCCCATCCATCCATCACCACTAGCAAGCTACCAGCTTCATTACCTGCTTCTTTTCGATCCACAATGGTAATTAAGTACGTACAGATGATATATAGGATGATGAAGTTGCAATATATAATTTCTTGATCATCCATGTATATGTATATGTATATGTATATGCATATGCAGCAGCTGGTCCCTCTGTGGCTCGAGCCGCTGCTCAACGCCGCGTTCTTCACCGCCTGCGGCACCCACGACGGCGACGGAGCGAGGAGCGAATGCAACATGTTCTGCCTTGACTGCGCCGCCGACGCCTTCTGCTTCTACTGCCGCTCCTCCCGCCACAAACATCATCAAGTCATTCAGGTAGGTATTTATGTACGTATATACATTAGTTGTTTTGGTTTTTTGATAACCAAAAACAAAAACATTCCTACATTCGATATGAGATAATTACCTTTTTTTTATCCCAAAAGAAAACACCTCTTGGTGCGATAAATGTACGTCGGGGGACATTTACCAAATTTTATTAAAATATGAAGTCATTACAAATCGTACATGGGTCCGAAATGCACGAATAAGTGAAAAATTCTCACAACAGTTCAAGAGGGTGAGAATATTTCCTGAGATAATTACCTATATAGGAGTAAACAATAAAAATTGTGCACAAATAGGAATTGAACTTTCCGTGAAATTTAGTAGGAGTAAAAATGGGTAACCTGACGTAAATATCCTTAATGAAATCTGAAGCTGATATGTTTATTAATAATTTAAAGCAAAATATAGAAAACGAACTGTACAACAACAATCAACGTCACAACCCTAGGAGGCCCGTGACCACCTTCTCTGTTGCCGCCAGCCCGTCAACCATCGCCGTCGTCAATGGCTCTACCACCTGCCGCCGGCACTCATGTCATCGTCGGCGCCGCCTCTTCCACAACTTGCCGCCGCTTCTTCCACCACCAATGTCACTCAGCCAAACGCTGTCACCGCCATACGCAGCCGCCGCCACCAGGCGCCTCCGCCATCAGTCAGCGCCGCCACCTTGTGTACCACCGCCGCCCGTCGCCGGATCCGCACCACCACCTTTGGCTAATCTAAAATATGGTAAAAGTGCTGTAAATATAATTGGGTCATTTAAATGTCATCTTAATGGCATTGGTATTAAAACAGAGATATGAATTTTATTGCCATCTCGGCATTTTCAAGGCATTACAAATAGTGGATTTGAAAGAAAAAAATATTGCCATCTTCATGAACCAGTTCCATCTTGATGGAATTAATGTAAAAAAATGACATTATAACTTGTATTTAATTTCCATCTTGAATTCTTGATGGAATTAATGTAAAAAAATGACATTATGACTTGTATTTAATTTCCATCTTGATGGAATTAATGTAAAAAAAAAATGACACTATGTGACAATATAATAATTTCAAAGGGAAAAACATGTCATTATTTGTAATGTATGTAGAATAATATTTTTATTTTTATCTTAATACTACGTATCATAAACATTAGCTTAAAATAGAGTATGAAAATTTTAGATTCAAATAAAAAAAATAGTCTGAAAAGTTAAAAAAATTGATTTAAATCAAATGTAAAAAAATAATCAATACTGTACGAAGTAGAAGTTTTATAAAATGTTGAGAGAACACCCGTTGAAAAAAGAAATTGAAAGAGAAAACACAAAAATCCACAAAAACGATAAAGCAGATCTCGAAAGAGGGGAAAATGAAGCAAACATTAAATTAAAAAAATTGTTTGTAATCAAGGCAACTTCACACTGCAAGCCTGCAATAAGACGTTGCCATTGAGTGAATTAAAAGAAGGGAGAAGAAGAAGAAAGAAGAGGTGGAAGAAGAAAAAAAAGGAGGAGAAGAGAAAGATAAAAACTTACTCATGGTGGTCGCCGGACTCGTTGTTGACCGCCGGTGGCTGGAGTTGGGAGGAAACATCTCCATTCAAACTTATTATAGTCCGCCGGAGATGAGATGGAGTTGTAGCAGATGGATAAAAGAGAATTCCGATGGAGATGAAATAATGGGAGAAGAGTCTGGCCAGAGGATAAAAGAGAGAGGAGAGAGGTAGCGTTGGAAATTAGAAAGCGGAAGGTTCAAGAAGAGTGTCTGACAGACAAAAAAAAAAGCCTCAAAAATTAATTCAAATAATTGTACGAGAGGGGTAGCATTGGAAATTAAAAACGGGCCGGTCAAGTGTAACTCCTATTCGAGGAATAAATGAGAAGTAAGTCTTAGTTTGGAACTTTTACATTAATTTAGTCCTATTTGGGACAATTACTTATTCGATATATACATAAAATTAAGAAGCTAGCTAGCCGGCCGGCCGGCCAGCCTTGAGATCGATTAATTCCTTTCATTTTGACAATAAATTAAACGATCATGATGGATCGAGTATTAAAATGGCCTGCCGGCCGGAATATATTACTAATGAATTGTACGTGCAGATAAGGAGGTCTTCATACCATGATGTGGTTCGGGTGGTGGAGATAGAGAGGGTGTTAGACATCAGTGGGGTGCAGACCTATGTGATTAACAGCGCCAAAGTCGTGTTCCTCAACCAGCGCCCCCAGCCTAAGACCAGTACCGGCAAAGCCGCCGCCGTTTCTAACCTCTGCGAGATCTGCGCCAGAAGCCTTTTGGACACTTTTCGCTTTTGTTCTCTCGGCTGCAAGGTATGTACCATCATCACATCACGTACGCGCGCGCGTTTCATAAAAATTACTCCATCTGTCTAAATTACTCTTTCCTCATTTAACTCCCTCATTATCACTCTTTTCATCAAGTAATATAAGTACACGTATTAAGGTTGGTTTGCAACAACTTTAAAAAAAGCACTTCTCAGCTTTTGGCTTAAAAAAGCACTTATTTACCAAACACTACCAATTTTTTACTTTTCTCGGCTTTCGTGTCAAAAGTGCTTTTCCCCTTTTTATACACCAAAAACACTTATTTTACCAAACACAACCAACTTTTACTTTTCAAAATCACTTTTTTCTCAAACACTATCAACTTTTATAACTAATCACTTTTTCATTTCATCTCCAAAAGTGCTTTTTTTTAAGCAGAAGCTGTTGCAAACACTCCCTTATACTACCGAGTACTCCGTTACCCTCCCTCCCTTTTCACTTTCCTTTCTTGGACGTATCATTAGAAGGTTCTCATTTCTATTTTAGGAAATAATTAACAATCTTAATTGACAAATTAATAATTAAATATTAAAAATAATAAATTTATAACATCACAGTTATCAATACTAACTACATTAAAATATATACCTATTAAACTATTTCTTAAAATATACTCGAAGTACTTCATTTAATTATTGTCTAAATAACTGTGTCATTTTGTCATGAGAACCTTCCAACGGGACAAAGGTAGTATGTGTAATCAATTGCCGGAAATTTGGTTGGAAACAGGCCAGGCCAGACCAGGTCAGGCTTTTGCCTAAACAGGCCGGGCCTGTTATAAAATTAATAAGCTTGAAACCTGTTTAGTGTGCCTGTTAAGAAAAAAAATCAAAAGTTCAAAAAAATAAAAAATAAAAACTGAAAAATCCTCTTAACCCGATATAAAATTTATCCCTCAAATATTAACAATAAAGTCTAATTATACGATAGTTTTGCTTTGAAAGTCTAATAATACGTTTTTTAATACGTCAATTATGTAGCTTATAAATTTTTATGTTCTTCAAATCTTGAAAAACTTTGAATTTCAATTACTCTATTAACCTATTAACACACTTATATATGATATTTCAAATAGCTAGTATTCTAATTTATAATACATACTCCATAAAAATACTATTATGCCTAATTTGATATAGTTAAGTATACTAATATATAATTATAAATAATACAAATAAATTTAAATATAAGTAAATACTCCTCCGTCCCATTTTGTAAGATACATTTTCCTTTTACGGTTGTCCCAAAAATATGAACACTTTCCAAATTAAACTTTTTACTTTCCCCTCTTGCCCTTCCGGCGCACCCATTATTCACGTCATTCTCCTTCTGCATTTATTATTTGATGAACCCGAAGCTTTTAATTCTTGTGCCATTATTGATTACTGGGTCTCAATATATTCCTTTTATTAAAGACGGAGTAATATTAACACACTAAATGATCTTTTGTTGTTGAACTAACAACACTCAGCGCTCTTTTGTCTTCTCACTTAGTGAAAGATAAACACCCGGAAAGATCTTTTGTTGTTGATAACTCCAATCATAAAAAGACTAATCTTGCTGTTTATAAATGCTTTTCGAACAACTATGCTTCTCCAACTTGAATCTGATTTGCAATTTCTTGAATCTCTTCATACTTCGTAAAGAAAAATGCTTTGTATAAGAGATGATACTTGTAATTGAGTGGAGCTCGTTATTGGTATGTAAGTGGAGATACATTACTATGTAATTTTGGATAAGGAGCACTACAGTGAAAGGATTGGGACACCTCAAGCAAAAGAAAATTAATCTAATCACACGTGTTAACATTTTGAGATGCGGTATAATAATGCTCGGTATTAATATGATCGATTTACAGCTTCTGTTTTTGAAACGAAACGATCGGTTTACAACTGTAGAATTATTGTTATATGAGGATCGGAGGTGACGGTCCATGTACCCGGCAAAGGGTAAAAAGGGAACAACCCTAGCATTCGGCTACTTTTATTAAATGGTGTGCCAAAAGTAAGTGTATCATACTTTTTGGGACTGAGGGAGTATATACATATACAAACATATATATATATATATATATATATATACACGCATATAAATAGGTCGGTCTGTTAAGCTAAAGAGGTTTCAGAGTTGGGCTAAGCCTAACCTATTTAAATAAACGGGCTTTTAAAAAAGCCCAAGCCAAGCTTGATAATTAAACAGGCCAGGCTAGGCCTTAAACAGGCCAGGCCACAGGCCCCTGACAGGCCGCCTAGCCTATTTCCACCCCTAGCCGGAAATAAGAGTAAAACTATAATCAGAGTATGCTTACTTAGGATGTTTTCTTTTGGACTGTTTTCAGTTCCAAACCAGACCAGACCAGATCATACCAGACCAGACTTCGGTAGTTATAAAATACACAGAGAGCATACGTTTATCAAACCAAACAAGACCATACCAGACCAGCAAATTTCAGCCCAACAGAAAACATCCTTATAACTACTCATCTTCTTTCTTTGAACTAAGATCCATTTATTTAATCCTGACAATAAAGCATATGTAGTACTCCCTCCTCTCAGTTAAAGGTTCTCATTTTTTTTTAACGTCTCACTTAAAGTTTCTCATTTTCTATTTTAGGAAACAATTAACACTCCTAATAAACAATTTAATAACCAAATATTAAAAACAATACATTTATAACATTACTGTTATCATCAATAACTCATTATATTTTTATTTTATAAAAAATATGTTGTGTTTTAAGATTTGGCCCTACAAAGTAAAAAAATTCAATCTTAATTACTTGGAGGAGGGAGTATAATATAAAAAAAAAATGTGATCAATAACCATTTTCTTTTATGTGTGTACCAACACTTTAGCTTGTAGGAATCAAGAGGAATGGGAATGGAAGTCTTATGTTAAGCGCGAAGAATGAGGTTGCAATGCAAAGAGGGGAACACGAGTTGTGTGAGGCCTCCTCACAAAACGACATGTTTCTGGTAACGCCGCCTTCGAATGCAAGGAGAAGGAAAGGCATTCCGCGTAGAGCTCCCTTTTTATCCTAACTTTGTTCATTCATATCATGGCTTCTGTACTTAACACTTTCCATTCTTTTTTAGTTATAACGGTCAACATTTCACAATTGTCAACGCACATCATTGACTGTAATTATATTTTAATCTCTATTAGTTAAAAATAATTAAAAATCAGATTTTAAAAATTTGTAATGAGATGAATTGAACAATATTTTTTTTAAAAAAATAATTTTCGTAAAATAATACCGTAAAATGTAGTCAAAGTAGAACACGTGAATAGTATATAATTCAACATGTTGCGATTAAAAAGAAACGGAGGATAGTATGAAATAAATCAATGTCATATTATACGGACTATTTATATAGCACAAACTTTCCATTCTTTTAACCGTTATGCACATTTATTGTACGGACTATTTATATAGTGGCAATTGTAATACTCCCTTCGTTCTCCATTAGTTGTCCCAATAGGGTTTGGCACAAGTTTTAAGAGAAAAGTAATATGAGTAGTGTAAAAGGTGTAGTGGGTTGTGTTTAAATGAAAAAGTAAGAAAGAGAATGAAAAAGTAGGAAAGAGAATGAGGGTAAATGAGTATATTTATTGAAAAAACTTTCCAAAAATGGAAAGAGAGACAAATATTAGAAAACAACCCAAAATGGAAAGAGGAACAAGTATTAGAGAACGGAGAGAGTATTTGTTAGTAATTTTTTGATCATCAAAACGGCTTTTCATTAATATAGAGCAAACATGGAAGACAAAATTCAGACAGCTATTACAGATCTGATCGTAAGCCTTAGGAATAGATTTAGAGTCAGCCACCTACCTATACAAAACAACATAACTCGCTAGACTCAAAATGGGCAAAAAGAAGCCGAAAACGATCGAAAATGAAGTACTGGCTATCCAAAGTTCTTTAAAAATCAACTTATGTTAGTAATTAATAGGCTGAAAACATTAGCAAACAATATTAAAATATAATATTAAAATACAATTGAAATTGTCCTCGTGGGATTTGTGAACTAAAAAATATGGAGTACAAGACTTTGCCTTCTTTAGGATAGAAGGCCAGAACGTGTTTCTGCTTCATCGGAACTCCCAGCGAGCGAGCAGCATACTTCGATCGGTGCCTCGTTCATCAACTCCGAGGACCTCAGCGACCAGCACAACAGAGAAGAACAAACTACATAACCTTTACCAGTTGTAATTAATTGCAAAAATACTCGGTTGTACGGTGAACATCGTACAATCGGGTGTACGGTACAATTTACCAAATCACAACTCCATAGTATGCAGTTCTATTAAGAAATTTTATCAGACTACGACTAAAATATAATTACTTTCTCTGAATATGATTATAAAAAAAATATTAGAACAAAAATAGTATGACACTCTGTATGACAACAATTAGGTCGTTTGCGCCTCAATATAAATCCACCACTAAACACTAATATTATGTATAGCATAGTAGTGTTCGTACTCACGGGAAAAGTATTTTTTTTGCGTGTGTGCAAACGTAAGAGATCAAAGTAAACATAAGGAGAAGTTTGAATATTTTGATAATTGAAAATGCAAAAAAAACTAAGATGAATGAATTAAAATATCAAAGAATCAACCTTCGTTTAGTTATGTTCCACTTAGTGAAGTGCTCATTGGTCATGTTTAGAGCTTAACTCTCCCCTCTTGAATACTTAATTGTGGATTAAATCATCTATTTCATCAAGAGTAGTTATTAATAACAAGAGGCATCCGTAATAAACCTGACTATTTAGGCAATATAGATCAGGCACCTTATATTGACCTGATAGCAGCATTCAATCAATTCAATTTAATGAAATCAATTAATAAGCATGATAACTTGTAACCCGGGGTGAGTATAACGTCTAGGTATTCTATCTAATTCATCCATTGGCCATCTAATGAAATCAATTGATATTGACCATCTCAACACAATGATTTATTGGTTTAATCAATATAATTAATTACCTTTTAAGTTAGGCTAAAGGGTCAAATAGGTCCCTATACCTTTCTGGATTGCTCAATTTGCCCCTTGAACCCAAAAAAGCTCCAATTAGCACCCTGAACTCGGTAAAAAGATTCAAATTTCACTTTTAGCAGGTCACAAGCCGATCATCGCCACGTCATCCGGTAGGGTGCCAACTATGCATGTGACGTGGCAACTTAGGGGGTCAAATAAGTCCCTGCTAGATCTCAGATTGGTTTTTCTCAGTTGGAGTATATCAGGAAGTTAGTCATGCAAAGGCTTAGCAAAAATAGGGATTTAGCAGATATGTGGATTGGTACCTTAGGCCCAAGAATTAGGAGGAGGCTGAATAAAACAATAATGGCTAGCAAGAGGGTACAATTTAATGGGGCTGATGGATATGAAGTATCTTGTGGTTCTGATACATATCATGTTGACCTAGGGAATAGAAGATGTTTGTGTGAGCAGTGGGATGTTTCAAGGATTCCATGCAAGCACGCCATTTGTGCCACTAGGGATAAGGGGATCCAATAGAAGATCATGTCTCACTGTGGCACAAGAAGGAGATGTATCGTCATACCTATTCTTTCACGATGACCCCTACAGTTGGCCCTCTTTTCTGGCCTAAAACTAACATCAAAGTCTTGCCTGCTGAGTTAAAGAAAAAAGAACTAGGAAGGCCAAAGAAATATAGAATTAAAGAATTAGGTGAGTTTCCCAGAAGTGGGAAGTTACCCAAGAGAGGTACAAGCATCACATGCCAGCTCTGCTTCAAAAAGGGCCACAACAAGAAAGGGTGTCCATCCGAAGAGCAAATCATGCAAGGGGCAACTACTTTTCCGGCTGATATGGAAGGTGGAAGCTCAAATCCACCTATGACATCATGTGGTATATGCTCCCAAACTTGCCACAGTCAGAACATGTGCCCAAACAATACTGACTCACATCAATATCAGGTAAAGTATGCAAAAGTAATTAAAATAACTTTGTTTTTTCCAATATATGGGCCTGCTTAGCTATTACAGTTCTTAAAATGTATTTATGACTGTATCACGAAACAAACATTGCCAATGGTCCTCTTGACGAAAATAACACTGGTGGAAGCACATAGGAACCCTACTTCACTGACAAACAAACTACAAATGGGACATATGTTGATGGTGTGTTTGAATGGAGAGGACAGAATTCCATAACTGCAGGTGGTTTGGAGGTAATGGCCTTATAAATGTAGGTTTGTAGGTATGTTATGATAATATTAATGACTTAAACTACGATAATTTTGATGTTTACAGAGACTGAAGGCAAGGAAAGAGAAGGAAAGGACTACAAAAGCTAAGAATTTGAGAAAGAGAGGTGTTGCAGAGGTGGGTGTTGAAGAGGTGGAAGTACATGGTGATCCCACGAAGTCAAGAGAGAGGTTCCATGCCTTGTTTGACCTAATGGAAGAGACTGATGGGCATTAGTCTTGCTATGTACTACTTATTCAGACATTGTAGAAGTTATTCAAACATTTTAGTAGTATTGGGAATATCCTACTACCTATTTTGGTAATATGTTGGTGGTTTGTAGGATGTTAAGCTTTTTTTAGATGTCTATGGGCTTATATGGGTGGAATGCAAGTTTTTTGGGTGGTTTACACTTGCATAAAATAATCAGGTCATACCTTATTGGATGATTGTGTACATTTGTTGACTTTAGACCTATGCTTTTCGTGTCATGTATCTGGTGTGTGTGCCAGACTTGGTTGCATGTAATGGTCTCTGATTAGTCAATGGAAGGTTGTAACCATTATGACACATTAATGTAATGATGTTTAGTATTAGGTAACTTTTGGTTTTATGTGTGCATGTATATGAATTGTCCTTTCAATGGGGTTGTTCAGTTCCACACATGAATGTAATCATGTTCAGTTTAATTTCCTAGTGATGGCAAATGCCACTTTAAGTTCAGGCATGTTTCCACACTTGCATATCATGGTTTCAGGTCTGAGACTATGACACTATAGTTCAGCCTTCTTTCCACACTTGCATATCTTAGACATGAGTTAAAATGTCATAGGATTATGGTTTAAGATGATGGTTTCAGTTATGCAGTATCAGTCATGAAATTTGGACATATATTCCAGAAGATTAAATGCTTTGACAATGGTTGCAGTTCACTAAACCACAAATATTTGCAGTAGACTATGCTTGCAATATCAGTCATGAATAGGTTGAAATACCAGGCAACATTATTATGCACTTCACAATGGTTTAAGTATTTCAAAATAGGCTGCATGCTTTCCTTAGCACTCAGGAATGCTCAAATATCAGGCCAATTAGGTTCAGAAACTTATAAATGCACAAAACAATAAATATTACACATATCATTGAAACACCCCAATTGTTTACTACTGCCAGAAGAGGTCAACACATTACAATATTTGTGTTACATCATAACAAAGAAACTGATCAGCCTACATAACATAAAAGGTATCATACTGATACATTAAACAATTTAAACATAACAAACTCATACATCAAACCAAACAAAGTGAGACCACAAAGCCAAGAAACTGTTACACCAAGCCTAACAAACTGATGGTACATTACTTCCTAAAACTGATACATGGCTTCCATTTTCAATTAATCCATTCCAGCTTCACACATCTTCCAAGGTACCTTCTTCTTGCTTCCACTGTCATTCCAAACAACCCATATCACCAGCATACATATTCCTGCAAGAGTGCACCACAACACACTCCAAATCCTCTTTTTTTAGACAGCCCTTTTTCCTTTGCCTTCTCCTCAACAAGCTGAGCTTCCAATGTGTTTATTTTCCTCAACAAACTAGGAATAATCATCTTGGACCTGTAACACATTTCTTCATCAAGCCATTCGAACATGTTGCAGGAGGCACCTGCACCCTATTTGCAATAATAGGGTTAAGTCAAGACAAGAACAATAAAAAATTACAACAAATCATAAATAATATACTCTTGAACAGGCAATGAATCGTCTCCCTGGGTTGTCATTTGTCCATGAAGTCATTGTCCTTGCTGGAATTCCACAATAGCAAGTTCCATAAGACATATTCCTTCTTCCCAAACCTGAAGGACAAAGAAATTCGTTAGTTTGCTGATGTTTTCTTCGACAACACAGGAGTAAGATGAGATCAACCAACTGAGTACCGAACAGATGAAGACCCAATACGTCGGAAGAGA